TGACTTGGGGATCGAATCTTGGCTTGCCCAGGCTCAGAAACGGGATTCATTAACGGCAAAGGCTTTATCTTTTTGTACTTTATCTTTAATCCAACATAAAAGGTGTCGCAACGAGTTGAAAAAGGGCTTCGGCCGTGCATTTTGCATTTCGTTCCCATCCAGCTACCTTTCTCCCGAAACCTTTCTCCTTTGAACGAAACTATGCCCAATACCGTAACCCTCCATTTACAAATAAATAGAGGAGGTCGAAGATGTTTTCTTTGAAATGAAGAACATAGCAAAACTGATTTCCACGACTGAAATCAGCCACCATAACTATACTAACTTCTTATACTTAAAGTTTTTGTAACAAAATTATTGCAGTTATTCATTCAAGCTTTGCTTATATGTGCAACAACAGCGATAACATCGCTTTCTTACGTTTTGCTAGGATTCTTACGAACATCGGGAGGCGTCGTCATTGCTGGGCACGTTTTCTGGCAAATGAGTCATGGTAAGGTTTAGTGCTTCATTTGAATTGTTCTGAAAGTATCATTTTTCTTGATTTTGAAAGTTATTAACAGTCCGAAGTCTAAGTTGATACTCGACCTTTTCAAAGAGGTAATCGAGTTGGAGGCTTGACGTTTCTGGCTTAACGTCCTATTTTTAGGAATTCACGCTGTCATTTACTTTTGCTTTAACCGAAGCATACGCAGGGAAGTGCTGTGGATGTATAGAAGAAAAGAGCCGCAAGCCATTGTGAGCGTCTCGGCCATTGATGTAAATCGAACATGGCGACATTAATCGAAAGTTTCCACTCAAAGCAGTCACGGATGGGAAAGTTCGAGCCTGTTTTGATGACTTGTTGGCAGGACAGGAGTTGAACTTTCCTATCGAGAGTCGAAGATCGAGGAGGCTCGATCGAAAAGTTTTCCATCGAATTGTGATATTATATCAAATGTGAAGAAGAGCGTGCAACAATAAAGATCAAAATAAAAAGTGACAAGTTCTCTGTTCTCCCTACAACTGTTACGACGTTTTTCACATATCGCTTCATTAAGAATTAGTTCCTATTCAGTAATGTGTAGGTGTGTAGGTGTAGGTAGTAAACTGTTGTGTTTTTTGATGTTTATATTTTTATGCTTGCTTTTCCCTGACATCATTTAGCTTATGCTTGTTACAGCCTATAACAGAAGGTAGATACAGTAGCCTCCCTCGCTACTGTATCTACCTTCGGTTAATGTCTTTTCCAGAGTAATGCTCACTTCAGGCAATAAGGTGAAGTAAAAGTCTTGGGGCGTTAATCAATCCCGTCTGAGAGATGCGCCTAAGCATTCGACTTCCTTTCAAAATCGTAGTGGCGTGTTGAATGCGTATGTGGCCTATACAATGAATTGCGGTGGCCAAACTATGTACAAAATTGGGCTTTTATGTTCCCAGACGAGTCTGGTACCAATTGACCGACTCTGGAGGGTAAAGGGCTTCTCCGGCCTAGGATAATATAGGTCCGGGATTCGAACCCGTGACCTTGTTTGTGCGTAATGCACCATACACCACCTCTGCCCACTTTAGGCAATAAAAGGAATATATGACCGCGGAAGTGGTCGATCAGGTGGCGGGAAAAGCCGTTCGTGGGGTATATAGGCCCTGTAAATGGAGTTGGTGTGCGGGGAGATACCGTCAATACTTCTTACTTCCAAATGCTGCGATGCAGCCGAGGAAACCATTTCGCGCCCTACCAACGAGTGAATCCGAGGACTAGAAGGGTGGTTTGTTCAGAAGGTCCTTGACTTTTCCATCGAGCCTGGCATACTTATCAGACACCGTCTTTGATTATCTCGCTATTATTTTTCTTTTCCATATAAATCAAGAATTGTGGCAACTGCTGCCTTTTTACTGAAGAAACTGTTGCCGTTGAAGTAGCTATAGAGGGGTCTACCAAGTAATATCGGCACGCCCTTGGTTTTTTACCCATTTCGATCCTGTATCAACAGTATTGGGTATGCCTAGCCGTATGAGTAACACCCACCAGTAGATTGTTTATGATCGTCTTTGATCGCACTCCATTGAAAGGTTTGTACCCCCAAATCATTCGGATTGCAACAGTGCGCTTCACCGTTACACGTCTACAACTTACCTTACCGATACCTTCCTCTGGAGTGTTGGATCGCTTTCGGGGCATTACTGGACTTGCTGTATGAGAAAATAATTGAAATATGGCATCATAATAAGACCAGAAATTTGTTCGAGCATTCTTTAAAATGTCATTTTGACGTCAGACTTCTATTCCAAGTCGGGAGGAATTTCTTTCAGTCTGTATAAGGACTTGTTCTTGTTGAAATGAGTGTGAACAGCTCTCTTCGTATTCCATCCAGGTGGTATGATGATTCTCGAAAAAACCCAAATCCTAATAATTTTCTCGTAATTAATGAGGTGCTCGGTAAATATGAATGAGTGTTTACAGGAACTATTTCATACCACTGTCCAAGTTCCACACAATATCAAATTTAACAATAACACGTATAACAATTGAATAATAATAACAGTTGAACACGAACACAATCAGTCGTTGCTTAAGAATCCTTGATTTCCATCCGGTTTTTAATAATTTGATTTCCTACAACACATTATGCAAGAGCTTAATGTAAAGTACTATATATGTTGACATTTAAATTGAATTCATTTGAATTTAGTGAATTAAGGGGGATAAATAAAAGAAGTAGTTAATGTGTCGGCAACAACACAGTAAACCTTCGGGTGCAATGTGCCAATAAGCTATGAGATACACAGCAGTTGCTAATGAATTGTCGAACACTTGAAGTTGTTTGTTGATACTTTATAGTAATGTAGGTTCCATACCCTAGAGTAATGTACGTGTTTTCGAAATATTACCCACGTCATCTGGGTAGTTTCTTCTTGGAATAAATTGAAGAAGATCTACGTAATCACAAAACAAGCTCCCGATGAAAGTGTAGGGAGCTTGTGCAACGTAATACTATTATGAAAAGTTAGAAGTCAAGTTACTTTACATAAAAGACGAAAGGTAAAGTCTCTGGGCGTAAATCACTCCCATTTTAGAGATGCGCTTCCCAATTCAGCTTCCATTCAGAATCGTAGTGGCGTTTTGGATGTGTATGCGGCCGATATAATGACTTGCGGTGGCCAGCCGATGTGATACAAACTAGTGCTTTTATCCTCCCAGACGAGTCTGGTACCGACGACGGGGGATGGAAGGCTCTGCTCACCCACGGGGATACCGATCGTGGATGCTAGGCCCCTCACGTCTTTTATAGGCTGAACACTTTTTTTTACGAGGCCCATGGAGTTGGAGAGCGATGCGGACACACGTTCCAGAATAATTGGATTACCTCTTGGACCTCTCAATACCAGGTGAATTCGCATAACATTTCCGCGGGGGCTTTATCCTAACCTAGTACGAAGAAGTCGAAGTAGTACGTAATCTAATTCGCTCCTTTGAGTTCTTCACGAGGTTTTTACACTAGCTTTCCTGAGCTGGCAGCTCGCCATTGGGCACCCCGTGAAACCGTGGGGAGCAATAAACATTTGTCTCAGGTACGTATGGACACCTTAAAATATGATAGCCTTCTTCGCTGTAGAAACACCGTAATTTCTTTTTGAAGGTGACTTGGTAGCTCAGCTAATGGTCCGCAATGTTGTCCTGAATGCTCAGCTGTAGGTGAAATGTTTGCCTTCAGTTTCGAATAACTCGCTCGTAATCAGGAAGCCTTGCAGAAGTGGAATGTTACTCTTGAAGAACCCTATGAACCCAACCACATTTTGTCTCAAGGAACAATCAAATAGCAGTGCCCTTTTGATGCTGACCGTATTGGGTGAAGGGATGACTATGTAAACGGGCACTCACGTATCCACTTCACTACTGGACCGAATGTTGCTCAAAAAACCAATACATAGCATCAGTGTAACAACATGGGGAGATTCAATTCAAGTAAGATAACCGCCATGGTGCCTTCCGAAACCCATGCCTGGCACCCGCTGTAGTCACGATAGCGTGCAAGATTCAGTAAGCAGCAGGGACGCCTTAGAGCCACTTCCTTAAAGGCACAGTTCACGAAAAAAATGGTCCGTGATATTTCCCCATGAGATGAATTCGAGGCCCCACCCAATACTATATGTGCCGAGTCAGGTCAAAAAACGTCCTGGATAGGGGATTAATAAGGGGCCAGACATTGTATCGTGTGAAAGCCACACCCGAGTCTCAGCGATGTTGTAGGAGCTGCACTATCTCGAGGAACTCTCGAGGGTAGAAAGTTCAAACGAATTGTCGTGACCCACAGCGACAGTGGAAGGCAGTTTTAGACAATTTTGACTTGATGTAGTCAGCTCTTTGCGCAGTTGTAACGATTGAAATCTCGTCCGAATGCTCCTTCCATGCCATTTCCGTCATGGTAATCCCGTACAACCTCTATTTCCACTTCTTTTGGAAAGCCTTTATTTTCGCGAAGTAAGCGGATTCTTTCGCTTTCACCGTCACGGATGCACTGCTCTACATCAGCGCTTCCTCTTTCCAACTTAAAATGGGTACCTCAGAATTAACGTGAACTGTGCCTTCAATCTACTTATGCTTCCGGGTATGATGCATGAAATTCTAGAAGCATATGATTCAAAGTACGTCATTCTTCCCTCAAAACATCAAAGACAAACAGTTTTCGAAGAAAAGGCAGGTGAAGTTTCAATCACCATGAGCACAGGGTTCTCTTCATCAGAAGCAAACAAGGTCGCTTACATGCTCAATTGCTGTAATCACTGTAGAAATTACGGGAATAGCACGATGCCAGAGTTGTTTTCATCAACACAACGCGTGTTTTCAGAACGCTTCAAAATGTTTCGCTGAGCTTCCTGTTTCCTAGTGAAGCCACATTCATATCTTGCACGTTTCTGAGCAAACGTGTGTCTTCCCTCTTTAAACCTTTTTTTTCTGAAATTTAGCTTTTTTCCAAAGAACCTTGAGTGGCAGACTGATTTGGTTTGTTTCAGCAAATATGGACATATTCTACTTCAATATTCCTTGGATAATTGATCAAGAAGATTACAACTGCAGTAGCCGCACCCTGACAGAATGGCAAAGTAGAGGCTATGTGGACTCTGGGCAGGGAGTCTACTTTGCCGTGACAGGAGTAGTTTTTGTGGTGAGTTCGTCAAAATGGAGGTTAAATCCAGTTTTAGTTCGCTAAAAGGAGGAAAGCTCACGTATGACGTTACCAAAGTCTGGCTATCTAATGCTGTGTAATGTACGGACGTCAGAATTCAAATTTGCGAACTCCTCGGTTAGCTTGGGGCTTAATCTCAAAGGCCAAAAAATGAAGCGAAAAGAAAGAAAATGAAGGAAATACAAGAGAAGTGCAAGTAGAAATCAGATAGGGTTGGGATGCAGGGATGCACCATCGTCCCCAGATGTAGTACAGTCCTAGGTTGACGAGTATGTTAATCGAGGCAACAACATGACGCATAGAATGAGGATCAAATCGAAGATCTTGGGTTTCGTCCTGCTGTCTTAAACATTAGACGACGGCTTAGCTGGAACAACTATGCCCATTTTGTTAGAAATATCTCAACCTCCATATCTCGTATAAAATGAGCTCTAGTCACTAAGCTGCAAACCCAACGTAGGTAGGGACGTTGGCACAACGTCCCTACCGATCCATGCGGGCAGTGTTTTTCGAGCGGCCAAATCTTGATCGCGGCAAATTTTGATAATGGCTTTTGTTAATTCTTTCGAAAGAATTTACTTGAAAAGAGAAATTCAGGTACTCAATGTGATGGGTCTAATTGGAATGGTGAAAGGAAAACTGCTGAGTACTCCTTGTTACTGCCTAATGTTCTTCAATGGGATCATTGACATCATGGACATCATTGCTGGCTCACTTATCCCAGCATACTTTTTCTTTGTAAGTTTTTTCGTGATCCAAACTTGTGTAGGCCTCTTCAGGATAGCATGAGAAATCTTCTCCTATTTTATTTCACAAAATGTATACCCGATCACATGCGACTGCATTTGGTTCGCAAAAATGATTTTAAAAAAGGCTTTCTGAGTTTATGGGCATTATAAATTTCAATGAAAGAACCTAATAGGAGTGTTAGCCGAGTCCGTCTCCGAACATTTCTTTGAATTACTTTAAATACACATTAGCAGTCTGCTTGATATCTTTAACGAGTCTGAACTCGAAGGAGAAGTTTTGATCGAACGCTTCTCCATTCCGTTTTTGAGTAATAAAGAACTCTCGAAAAGAGGCTTCTTAGAAAAGTCTTGTTGTAGCAGTCTCAACATTAAGCCATAAAACTACCAATTTCGTTCAGACTGGAGCCGTCTTCTGTTCTTCGGAAGCTCTCGAGAGATTCAGCGGTTACTTCGCGTGGTGTAAGTTTGACGATTCTATTAGTAGTGATTAGAAAAAACGATAGCACATGGTAGGAGTGAAACTTTCGTAGCAGCCTTTTGGCCTTTTCTCGTATTGGAAAAAGTCTTTGCATTTGAAAGCACAGTTCATGACAATTTTGGGGCATCTATTATACTTTTAGACGAGTAATGAAAGTGATGGTCCATAATAGTTCAAAAGTGGCGAAGAAAGCGCGGAAATTGGCGTATTATAAGAAAGAAGAGAAGTCAATAAGAAAAAGAGAAATAGCCGTAAAAAAAGTGAAAATAGGGAATGGACGAGAATATGACGAGAGAAGTTGCATGGAAGTGGCATTTTTACGAGCTGTCCAAATGCGCGCGCCCGCATACAGCTGTGTAGCTCACACCTTCCAGTGAACTGCCTTCGTGCAAGGTGTGGGTCCCGGTTGGAATGGTCCCGGTAACCTCTACAGCTTTCTCAACGCTCCGGAACTCGTCCGTCTTGGGTGTGTACGTCGAGTATCCCGGTTTCGGAGTTCTTATTGTGCTCTATTCTGGCCGTTTTTCGACCCGACAGCGTCCCCTAGGCTATTCTTGGGAGTCACAAGTTCATCCAAGGGAGAGATCTCAGAAACCGTTTTTAATGTAAACTTTCAATTCCCAATCGGACTTGTAGTGGCTCAAACAGTTAGTTGCGGATGCTTCTAAGTTAAAATTGAAGCAACAACTAAACAAGACTTGAAATAAATAATGCTGGGCTTGCCTGGGATGATTCCAAATCAGGGTTTGATTGCATACTATTGTAGTTCTTCCCCAGTTTTCCGACCCGTAGTTTAACTAATAGTGTATGAATCATTTTGACGTTGAGCAGAACATATAGCATATAGTCAGTTTCTATGATACTTTTAAAGAGAAGCAGCTGCACTGGTTATAATTAACCCTCGTTCTTGAAGGTGTATGGGCTGGAGCTTCATTAAACTGTATGGTATTGGCTTTGAATCGTGTTATTGAAATGATTCCTTCTGCGAGTGCACTTCGTTTTCTATTTAAAGGTTAGTTTCAACTCTGTATCGATAACTACTCTTCCTTTTCATATGCGTATTTTTAGGTAAACTGTTGTATCTATGGATGGTGCTGATAGTGACATATATGGTACTCTCACCATTTTTAAACCGTCCTCATTCATTCAGTACAGTAGCTTCTGCTTATATTAGTTCACCAATGATTACCGATGATGCTGATAAGGTCAGTTGTATGTATAATAGTTTGCGGCTTTGAGACTCACTCCCCAGAAACTCCCCTGTAGTAGCTTGAAGCAGTCTGGAAGACTTCTTTTCTTCATCCCATATTCTCCTCTCATAAAACCTTTGGCTAATCTCCGATCTTGTTATTTTTCCAAATTTTCTCTTGCTTTCATATTCTACTCCGAACACATTTAAGCCCATGAGAGTTTATTCCGGGATGCCTTCATCACCAATTTCCCTGAGCTATAAATTTTCACAAGCCCTTCCAGTTTACCAAAATTGCCATGCTGAAAGAAACTGGTTGTGGTTGTGTGTTGCTGAGATGTTTTTTAGAACTTTGATTTTCTGAATTGCTAATCAGTTCTGTTGCTCGAAAATAAGCAGTGGTGACGGATAGCTGAAAACTGGGATGCCCGATTTAATTCTGCTGAAGTGAGAGTTTCCGATGATTTTGGGATTCGGCTATCTTAAGAAGTCTAGAACAGGAGGCTGAGGGAGGTGATTGAAAAAGACCATTGGATCACAACAGTAGGTGCTTTAGTTAGAAGAAACTTGCGGAAGTCAACAAGAGTAACGCAACCAAAAGATCAATACAGAAGATTTTCAACTGGAATAAATTTCAAACTATTCCCATCTTTACTGGACCATTTTTACGTGCTCCATTTTCTCAATTTTATTCCCATTTTGCACAACTACAGAGATGATGTGGAATCATTTTGAGTGAGGGATGATCGTTACGCAGTTGTACTATTTGTTCATAGCTAACCTCTCTTTTGAATCTTTTCGTTATTGATTTATAGCACGGAGATTTTCAGGAAGCAGCGTATTTCAATACACTTCTTCTACCGATCCATAATGTTTCCGTCGTCATCGTAATATTCACTCTTTACACCATTCTTTGTGTGTACGTCTTCCAAATGCGTCGAATTGCAAAACGAGGCACCTACAAATTGCAATTACAGGTATGGGCTATGATGAATTAATAGAAAAGTCAAACCGCCTATGGGGACAAGATCATCAATTTTGGAGTAGGCATAGTACTGGAAGAAATTTTCGTCGCAGCTTGCGAGAGCTCTGATTTGTACCATTCTTAGGTAAGCTACGCATCTGATCACCCATAATCACACTGCATTTGGGTTGCCAGGTGCCGTCCCCATGGACAAAGTTTTGCCAAGAACCCTCTTTTTTTTTCGAACAAAGATCGAGACTCCTGAAATGCTGTTCCATGAGTGGCGGCAATTTCAAGAGGGAAAGTGGTAACTATCAAAAAAGGTCTTGGGATTTGTTCAGTTTTCGCAGGACTGAGAGGATAACAGCACTGAATTGTACATCGACTAGCTACCGCAAGTCACTGTATAGGTCACATACGCATTCAATAGGTCACTACGAATCGCAGTGGAAGTTGAATGCAGGGCGCAACCCTCAGACAGGATTGATTAACGCCAAAGACCTTCTCCTTCTGACCTTTTAACTACGCTACGCTTCTGTAAAAAAGTAACGGTGCCATGTTTACCAGAAAACTTGTAGAATTTCACATTTTGTTATCGGTCTGCAGTCGATCCGAAAAAAGGCCAAAATAAGTTCTATCTTTTATAACATTATTCCAGTATTTGCTTTTTTATACTTCAAAACCTGAAACGGAGAGCAGGGTTGAAGCAGTAACGACTATTTTTGTGGTAGTGTTTATTGCCTCATAGGTATAGGTATAGATATAGGTATAGGTATAGGTTTATTACGTAAAAAAGCTCAAATAATTCTTATTACTTATTATTCTCATAAAGATCCTTTGCAGCTCTTCATTCAAGTACTTATGATCTGTTCAACGACCACTATGACAGCGCTTCTTTATTCTGCCATGATATTCATCACGGTGTCACGAAACGTTGCCATTGCAGCAAACGTCTTATGGCAGCTGAGCCACGGTATGTTACTGCATACCTCTACTGAATTCTGTAGAATTGTGTTGTCTGTGACATGCGAATGAGAACCATCTTTGTTATTTCTTTGATTTTTAATACCTGCTAATTTTCTCTTCAATATGCTATAGTACGCTATCACGAAGGAGTTATGAGTAACTGCTCTGAACTCCAAAGAGACATGAACCAGAATCTGGGCGTTTCGGGCGTCGTGCTCTTACCCGCTTTATTACCGGGACCCCTACACCCTCACTGTAAGCGCTCATAAGCAACTGTTTTAAACCCCGAAGGGACAAGGAGCTTGAAGCAGAATCTGGGCGTTTCGGACTTCGTACTCTTACCCTAGTTCAGTACCGTAGCCCCTATACCCATATCATGGGGAGTTCGTCAACGCTTGTAAATTTAGCATGAGGAGGGCAACTGGGGATAGGTGTTGTAAACATTCGACTATAGTGACTGGTAAGACGAGTTCAAGTCCGAGACCAATTTCTTGTCCCATAACGCTACATCCTTGGGATGGCTCTATGCTATAATGTGATAAAGCCAAGGACCTGATGCTCTATAAGAAGGAAAGCAAAATCTCTGAAAGCACAGCTCCTCCCCTATCGAACTTTACTTTATATTATACCTTCTACCTTCTTGTACCTGCACATGAAACAAGTTTTTTAGGGTTTCATGCCATTGTTTATCTTTGCCTCAATCGTGATATAAGTTACGAGATATCGAAGATGTTCACCAGAAGGAGTAAGGTACAAATATCGAGCGTAGTAATCGTTGCTACAGTTCGAGCGAGTGAGACCTGCAGATGAAGTGGTGGATGCGGAAGCTCCAGTCTAAGTTTTACTGCGTGGAACTCAAAACAGAATTAGGAGTCCATATTATAAAAAAAACTGTTATGATTTTGACATAAACATTGTATTGATGTAAATAAAGATTGTTGAAATCATGAAACATAGATGAAACGTGCCTCTTGTCCAATGAATGTTTTACTGTTTTCTAAGTATGAAATTGTGCTTCGATAGGCCTTGATATTTCATAGTAACTCTTGAATATCCAACGATGGGCTTTACAGTTGTTTATTTAATATAAACAGGATCAAAAAAGCATTCTCTCTGCGTTCATAGTTTTCTTATAATACCGCCTGCTATGGCGGTTGTTTTTGTTAGCGAATGCCATGATATGAGAGGATACCGCTGAAAACTGCAGCTGAAAGAAAACAACTGAATAATTCAAAGGAAATCTGGTTTCATCAAAGAGGTGACGAAAAATAGCTAGAAGGCAATTTGACTAATAGAATGTCTTGAATTTTTGCCGTTTGCTTTTCTTGTACTCCATGAATGTAATGGGTTGTACGAAAACAATTTCTCAAAGTTCTGTTATAAAATCTTTTCAAAAGTTTGGACGCTTTTTATGTGATAAACTGCAGGTATATGTTTGTTTCTTTTGAGAGAAGGTGAACAAATTTCATTTATATTCGTGTTTTGAGAGTTATGATACTTCGAACGTGGAGTGTCAGATGGACCATTTTCGGCACATTTCCCTTTTTTACTTTTATCGTGGCTGCTCTTGTTTTCTAGGATATATGTTAAACATAGGGAAGTGGTGTAGTGGCAAGTGGCGCACTATATCACAGGCACGATCAGGGGTTCGAATCCCGGATCGATGCCCGCCTAGGCCAACCAAGCCTTCCATCCCTCCGGGGTCGGTGAATTGGTACCAGACTCGTCTGGTAGGATAAAAGCACTGACTTGTACATCGGCTGGCCACCGCAAGTCATTGTATAGGCCACATACGCACTCATTACGCCACTACGATTCTGAATGGAAGTCGAGTGCGGGGGCGCATCCCTCAGACGGGGTTGTTTAACGCCAAAAACTTTATCCTTTTATCCTTTATGTTAAACATAAACTCACATGAAGCTGAGGAGGTGCTGTAGTGCCAAGGGGCGCCCTTCACACATGCACGGTCGCGGGCTCTCTCTGATAGGATCGATTAACGCCAAAAGACTTTGGCTTCATCTTATCTTATCTACGCTGACAATCCTTGTCACAGAGCACATGTGAAAACTCCCTTGCAGAATTTCGTTTGGCAGTTCTGACTATTAGGCATTGATAGTGATTTTTTGACGGCAATGACCAAAGCTGTCCGCTACTGGATGTTGCTGATAAGTCCGTCGCATGCATGGGAATAGTTGACGACAAAATCGAAAAACTTTTACAAATGAAGGCGCTAAATGTTTAGGCGTCTCATGAGTTGAGGGAGATATACTTGACTTTGTGAAATAGTGTCTGCGATTTGCTCTTCAAACGCATTCATAACCACCCATTTATGAACCTAGTAATGCTGCTGGTAGAACTTGTATGTTTACGATAATTCTTCTCAAAAGCGATGGAAAAAGAAAAGATTAATGAAGGATGAGCCGGCTCGAACGAGGTCCAAAGTTGATCTTCATGAAAAGGTCACGCTATCACTTGGATGGGATTATAGGGGTATGTTGTAGATTGAAACACTTTCAAGGAACCAAGACGTCGGCTTGGATGTTGAAGTTGATCGCTGGTATTACAGCGCAATGTACGTATATTCAAAATACTTCCCACGTCATCCTGGTAATTTCTTCTTCAAAGAATTCCCTGACTTGAGGGAGGTCTACGTCATTACAATAGTAAATAACAAGTTTCCGACGACGTAAAAGAGGGGAGCTTATGCAACATAGTATCCTGGAAAGTTCAGACATCGAGATCCTTTGCATGTCGACTCAGTTCTGAAGGAATGTAGTGTCCTAGGAATGCGACTAATACATAACATACCCCCACACACCCTCTCCACGTATAGACAGACGAAATGGGATAGCGCCAAGTGGATAAAGCACCAGTGAAGTGTTCCCTCTACTGTCGCATTTGGTTACATCAAGGCTCATCTGATACATATTGATAGCTGTCAACTTGAGGAATATTACGTTTACAGCGATCGTGAGTAGATTCTGGCCCAAGTCAATGTACACTTCTGTCGTTTGATTGACCGGTTCCAAATCATGTGGGAAAGTAGAAGTGCACACAAGCTTTTACTCCGACTGACTCCGTATGTCATATTATAGCCTTATACTTACATACTCACAAGCTAAACACTTCCGATGATGCGTAAATTGGCTCTTAAACCTACCTTTTTATTCATTCACTGCCATGTGATATCTCTTTTTCAAGGCACCCTATCCTTTTATCAAGAGACATTTCATGAAACCTCGAAGCCCTACAAACTGCCTTTAGTGATGGGGTAAACAAACTTTAAACTTTATGAAAGAACTCTACGAAGACATGGACAAAGACTCAATTGTCTAATTGTAAGCAGAAATTCAAGCAGTTATTATATTAAGGTTATTTAAAGGCACAGCTCACGATGAAAATGGTTTCTGAGATTCCCCCACACGATATATTTGAGGCCCTCGCGTATACCGTATCTGGCACCAATAGGTCGGAAAACGGCCTAGTTAGGGAGTTATAAAGGCTCAAAGTATGGCCCGTGTGTAACCTCGGACGAGTTTCGCCGGCATTGTAGAGGCTGCACTGATCACAAGGGAACCCACTTAGGAAGTTCAAACAGTTTGTCATGACCCATAGCGATAGTGAAAGACAGTTCTGTACAGTTCTGGCTTGATGTAGTCAGCTCTTTGTGCAAATGCAATAGCTGAAAGCTCGTCCAAATACCCCTTCCAGGTTATTTCCGTCATGCCCATCTCGTCCAACCTCTATTTTGCCTACTTTTGAGGACCCATATTTTTGGCGAAATTGGCGAATTCGCTCGCTTTCTTCACTACCGATGAACTATTCCCTATCTATGGGTGTGTTGCGATTCGTGCGATTCTGGGTGCGCGCGGCGAGTTGCGCGGCGAATTTCGGTGCGATTTGTACAACCACAGCGTTTACCATTGGGGCCCAA